GATTTTCTGCAATCTTTTAACCATCGGTAAGCTTTTTTATTTTATTTAAATTTCACAAACCTCATCAGAATTGTGCTTCTGCTAAAAACGATAGATTATATCTGCTCGCGCATTGACATAACCTATCCTTCTTAGTAGAAGCACAAATTTGTTTACTGAGGAATTTTGAATGCAATTAAATTAATTAAACTATTCTTTATTTTTATCGCATCCGCGGTTCTGCTTCGACAGACAGTGCTAAAACTTACCTTATTACAGAAATGCCGTCTACTAATTTTACACCTGCCTTCTTTGAGAAACATCTCGATAAACATTTACGTCTGCAGGATTATTTCTTATCAAATACAGAAGAACTCGATTTGAGAAGGTTGAGCAGGTGCGAATTTGTACTCCGAGGTATCGGGTACACATCAAATATGAATGTGGAGGTTAGATTGTCGATCGGAACGTACATTCGAGATTTTGGCCCGAGAACAATGGACTTTCTCCTGTACCCACTTTTTAAAGTCAAAATCGGCATATGCCATGTTTACATGGCATATCTGTAAGTATATTAAAGATAATAATCTTTGTCCGCCAAAGCAGAACTTGGGTTCTACTGTGGCGGACAAAAGAGACTTCAATATTAAATTGAAGTCTATTTTGTCCGCCACAGCAGAACCCTAGTTCTGTATACTTAACATATACTTACATATACTTACCTATACTTACCTATTTGTAGATTTTTTGCGTCACACCCGGATGTCAGGGGTAGAAGTATATACGGCAAGCTAATATTGCGTACTTTGTTTCAACCAATGGTTCACCATATGATGAAGGTGCTAAAAAGTTAATTAAACATAATAAAATTACTTCCACACAATTTTTATTATTAAGTGAAGTTCAAGAAACTAAAAGAAAAAATAGCAGATACTTATTTTCTTTATGTTTAAAGGACGAAGAACCTCAATCTTTATCAATAATAAAAGAAAGAATTAAGAAACCTTTAGATATGCTTCAAAAGATATTAGAAAATTTAAATCAAAATGAAATTTCTATTGCTAAAAATGAACATATAGAAAATCTTAATTGGGAAGAAATTTTAAATTTGATCAAATTGACTTTTTATAACTCAAAAATTAATGCTTTAATTTGCTATGGTACTGTTGCTTATGTACCTTTAGAGAAACGAGAAGAAATTTTTTATGAATTTTATAAATGCCCTACAGGGGGACATAAAGATGTAAGTAAGACTTACAATAGAATCAGATAAAAGTATTATTGGGAAAGATTAAAAGATGACGTCACAAGACGTATTCAACAATGTTTAGATTGTCAGTTAAAAAAACTAGTTAGACTTAAAACGAAACAACCTATGATTATAACCGATACCCCGGGAGTAGCTTTAGAAAAAGTTGCAATGGATATAGTAGGTCCCTTAAAAAAGACTCAGAATGGAAATGAATATATATTAACTATTCAAGACCTATTTTCAAAATTTTGTCTAGCAGTCCCTTTGTCTAACACTTTTTCAATTACAATTGCTGACGCCTTTATAAAAAAATTCATTTGCGTATTCGGTGCACCTAAAATAGTTCTCACTGATCAAGGTAGAAATTTTTTGAGTGAACTTATGATTAGAATTTCTAAAAGATTTAGAATCAAGAAACTCAGGACAACCGCGTTCCACCCTCAAGCAAATGGATCATTAGAAAGATCTCACCATTCATTAGGCGAATTTTTAAAGCAGTATACTGATGCTGACAATGAATGGGACGAATGGATTGATTTAGTCATGTTTAATTACAATACTAACATCCACGAAAGCACAAAACGTACCCCTTATGAAGTCGTTTTTGGAAGATTGGCTCGACTCCCATCAAACAACCCTTTGAGAGGAGGTGATTTACTCCCTACTTTTAAAGGTTACGTTTCAGAATTGGTAACTCTACTTAATAGTATACAAAAAGTTGTATACGATAATCAAGTATCTTCCAAAATACGATCTAAAGAATACTATGATAAAAATATAAATCCTATAAATTTCAAATTGGGGGATTATGTTTTTCTCTTATCAGGTCCTAAACCCGGGAAATTTGGGAATCAGTATGATGGGCCCTTTAAAATTATTGAAATTTTAAGTAAACATAATATTAAAATTCAAATTGGCAAAAATCATAAAGTTGTTCATGCTAATCGGCTTAGAATTTCGCACATTAACCTCGATCCTAAACCAGTGAAAAATAATGTTAGGTACGATCAAGATGAAAGTAATTAATTTTATTTTTATTATATAATCTCTGTAAATAATCTTTCTTTTATTATATAAATCTCGCTAATGTGTGGTATGATTGGGTACAACTGTGGGTCAAGGGAATTAAACTATCCACTGTTTCTCTCCTGCAACTGGGAGAGTGTGAGATACCAAAAACTAATATTAATTCTACAGAAAGTTATATTCAGTTATTGCAGATAAGTGAGTATAAAGAAACAATGGTAAAATAGTGCAAAGTCGAAATTAGGAGAGTAATTTATCATTGCGGTATGCACTCTCACGTATCCGTAGTACATAATGGTATGAATGAATATATTAAAGAAACAACAAAATCTGCGTGTGTTATTGCGCATATTACAGGTATTTTAAGAATTACGGATAATTATTCAATTAACGGATTGCTAATAAATAAAACGGTTATACAACCTGTAACAATAGCAGATCTAATAGAAAATGATGGTACTTGTGAAGGTGCGGGTTATTCAGATCCTTTTGGATCTTGGAAAAATGTAGTTGTACAAGCATCAGTAAAGATTACTTTGTCCGAACATTTAGCTAGGGTAAAATTAGAAACAAATAATATTATTTTAAAATCAGGTACAGTGTGTTCTCTTTCGAAGGAAATGTGCATTGACCAAGAAGGGAGGATATACTTACTGGAACACTGTTCGTAATGACAATTGTAAATTTGATCAATATAGTATTTTATATCAAGGTATGGCAGATAAGATTGTTGATTTAGATATATTTAATCCTCAAACCTTATTTGCTGTAACAAAAGGACAAGTAACTTTTGCTCTTACTTCCAAATCAGAAGAATTTCTATGCGGACATAAAATTATAAAAACTGAACATCCTAAACTGTTTATTTTTGAAACCACTGTCGGAAAAAGTTTCGCTCAAAATGATAAAATTGCAATTTCAAATCTCGATATCTTTACTTATGTTAATTCTAAATTTATTTATGTGAAGACATATATATGAAAACAATTAAAAAATTTGTACATCGACATTATAATACAAAAATGTAATTTGGAACAACAAACAATTAAAAATTCATTGTCTCTCGCAAAACAATCACCTGATCAATTCGCGTACGATGTAATGAAAGGGCCAGGTTATATGGCTTTAGTTGCGGGTGAGGTGATTCATATAATCAAATGCACACCGGTTAAAGTAAGAATTCAACAAGGAGAAAACTGTTATATGGAACTTCAGGTCATCAGCAACAACAAAACTTTATATTTATCACCAAGGACTCATGTCCTCAAAAATAGAGAAACTCCGATTGAATGTAATGTTTCCTTTCGAAAAATTCTCTGTTCTCAACGACTTGGAAATGGGGATGAGTGGACATCAAACTGTTTATTATGGAGTAGATTTATGACCTTTGGCACAGCTAAAAAGCTAAGAAAAAAAACTAATTACCCTAATGAAAAAGTCAGTAGTTTTTAAGTTCAAGTCAGTTCTCTCTCAATTCTTATAATTCTTCCAGTTCTCTCAATTCTTTCTACTATTTCCAATTACAAGTTCTTTCAACTATTTTCAAGTTCCAAGTTTATTTTTCTAATTGTAAGTCATTAAAATTGTAATTATTTCTCCAGTGACCAGTTAGTTCTTTTCAAATATTTAAATTTTTCCAAGTTTAAATCTTTAAGTTCCAGTTCAAGATATCATATATCAAGGTTCATTATTGAAACGAGTTTTTCCCACAATTATCATAAATAAAATTGTAAAAAGTAAGTAATTTTATTATTTATCAATGTTCTTCCTTTTCTTTAATTCACTTGTCAAACTTTCAATTCTGAAAGACAAAGTGCATTTTAGTTTCTTCATTCCTTTAAATTGTGCTCGATATTTTTTTATATACCTTCCGGAAAGATTTTGGTGTATTTTAGTGCATTATTATCTTTTCAATCCTTTTAAATTCAATCACATTAAAAACAAACCAATTTGAATGATTCCTGAGTTGTGGACAATGAGCCTAGACTCGAAAATAAATTTAAAATTTTAATAAATATGGTACGTTGTTGGACGTAACACTGTTATTCAAGAATCACTTCACCGTGAAAAATTAAATTGTTCGAAACGATAATTTTTAAGGAAGATATGATCATTTGCTTAAAAATCGAACATTTTTTCAATTGTTAACTTAAAAAAATTGACTTTTGAAAAAAATATCCCTTATGATGTGTAGAATTAAGAAAAGAATATTTCTTTGCACTGTAGTTATGTAATCAATCATTCAAAATATTGTGGAGGGAGTAAAAGAAATCTAATGAAAAAATGGAATTGATTTAATTGAAAACTTCCTATCCCTCTGACAATTGGTCTTTGATTTTATGAGTATACCTCTAACTATGATTTTTTATTAAATTGCAAAACACAATAAATTTTTGTTAATATCAATCTTAAACAGACATGTAGTTTTAAACTTCCATAATGAATAATGCATTGTGTCTTTGGTAAAAATGTGCTCATAATTTGAGAATTTTGCATTTTAAAATTATTTACATAGTGTTCTGGACCCATACAGTTTTTTAAGGACACGCTAAGTCAACTTCTAAAACATAACCGATAATTAAATGATCAGAAATATTGAAAAAGTCAAAGGTCAGCCAAGTAGATTTTTAAAAACTTTATCATCGCTTTAAAAGCAAGTCCTAGTGATGTACAGTAATGCAATGGGGCTAAATTGTATTAAATGATAACATTAACACATATAATACCTCTTTCAAGAAAGTAATTTCTTTTATAATGCAAAATTTATTATTACAGCCATATTATTATTAACAAAAATAAATACATTAAAGCTTATAAATTAATAAACGAAACTTAATCCATTTTAATTTTACACTATGAGAATCGTTCCTACTGAAGTAATGCAAATAATTAAGATACATAAATAAGTACGTAAATTGTATAAAATTTAAAAAATTTGTAAACATTTCGCTAAAAACTTTTGTAATGTTTTAAACAAATGTTATTATTTTTTTTTATTTTTTTTATTTTTAAATTGTTTCAGAAAATATTCTCTGACATTCAATTTATTAACTAGAAACTGACGAAAGCTTTCAAGAGAATTTCTACCTCCACTTCCACTTTCAAATGTTAGTGAGATTTTAAATTGTGAACTATTTTGTTCAGGACATTCACTTTCAGTTTGTATTGTGTAGAGAAGCAGTATAAATACCAAGAAGGGTACTTTATTTTCTAATCTTAAGATTTGTTCATTTTTTTGTGTGTCAATTGTGGATGATTGGGAATCATCTGTAGAACTGCGCATTTTTTTCGATTTAGCTTCCAGTTGCAAAGATAATCGACGTTTTCGCCTTGATTGGCTCCATGAGTCATGGTGTGCTGTCAGTTGACACGCCCAGTAAAGATTTTCTCTTTCTTCAAAATGAATATCTTTTAATTTAAACTAAAAATTAAAAATGCATTTATTATACAAACTGATTTATAAAATAATAACAATGATATCTCAGTCCAACTATGTATTTGGAATTCAAAAGAATATTAAACAACTTGTAACTATCTTCATTTAAGTTATATTATCAAATAATTTTTTCAAAAGAAAAGCGTGCAATAATAAGATTGGTCTATGTTACAAAAATGGATAAAATTAAATTTAAAATTGTATCGAGAACAAAATAATGGACTTTTTACTCACGTTTAATTGTCTGACACAGGATTTTAAACCTGAAATCACTTGTTGAAGGCTTTTTAAGTTTCCATGAGGCGGAAAAATAATGTCAAATGGTGGTTTTTCATATTTTTTTTTCTCAAAATCTTCATTTTTTTTTTTAATTGAAGGTGCTGTAGATAAATTTAAAATGTTTTCTGGTAGAAATGACCATGCAATTCCCCACCTGGAAACATGCTTTTAATTATAATTAAATATTTTTAATATTTTCAAAACGTTTAATTCTTTATACTAAAAGGGTGAAAATACGAAAGTTTCAAATTAAAATCTTTCTAAAGATATAAGGTTAAGTGTAAAAATGATTAACACAGAGTTTCTGTTGGTAAATTTTAATTGAGTTTTAGAGAATAACATACGTGGTCGATAAAATACAATTTCCTGAAAAAGAAAAAACTATATATATAATATAAATAATATAAAAATTTAGAAATAAGAATAGTTTCTTATTTGCATGCTTATTTCTTTTTTCAGTTTAAAAAAAAACGTTTAACTCTATATTTTGAATTTCACTAAAATTTTATTTAAGCAAAAATGTAATATATAATTCAAAAACATTTCATATGATTGTAATAATAATCTCAAATGTCTTATTAGTAAATATTAAAAGTTTCTCAAAAGATTTAAAACAATATTTTCTTATTTGCATGCTTATTCGTCTTTTCAGTTTTGCAATCTTTACACTTTAGTTTAGTTTTATTTACTATTCCAGCATTGAGCTTAAAAAACAAAAATGCAAATTCTTAATTTAAATTAACAGAACAACAAATCCATAAAGACTTGATCTTACATTATCGATTTCTTTTGTTTATTAACGCTTACCCCTTTAAAACTTTATTATACTTTTCTTTCACCTCTTTAGCATCCATGCAAACAAACAAACATATTTATTTATTAATTTATTTATAAATTATTTATTTATTTTTGAATAAGTCATGGTGACGTGACATTTGTATTTTTAATATAAAAAAGCTACATTCAATCTTACCTTTTATAGTTTTGTGTACTTTTTTCTTTAAAATTTTTACTTACATTTATCAATATAAATAAAAAATAAGAAATTATTCTTGAATTTATAAAACATCCAAAACATGTTTTAATAAAGTTTGTATTATTTTTTTTTTTAATTTTTTATTTTTGTTAAATAAACCTAATTATTAAAACAATTATATAGAATACAGTGAATAAATAGTCTCTTAAAAAGGTGAATAAAATAATAATTTAGTATTTGCATGCTAATTTGTCTTTTCAGATTTGCAATCTTTCCTTTTTTATTTACATAAATAGTTTTAAAATTTCAATAATTAAATCGTGAATTTCGAAAAGGGTTCAACTCTGAAAACCCTAAGAGTCATTTTTACTATTTACTTTTATGCGAAAATGACACTTGCGCTTTTTCGAGTTGAGCTCTTTTCAAAATTTATGATTCAATTAAGTTCTTAATTTTATTGATTTTATAATCGGTTAGAATCTAATATTAATAGAGTATATCAATTATAAAAACATATGATAGAAATACCAACTAATACCATAATTACTTACAAGAGTAGGTATAATATTAATAATATGTGTACCTTAAACTTGAATTGAGTGAATAAAATTGCACTATATAAATGAGTGATTTATCAAAATCACGCTGTAAAAAAACTTGCTATTTTCGAAGTCGCAGTTTATTAAGAGTGCTAATATTGTGATACACAGACAACGAAGTGTCATATTAGAAGGAAGGGGAATGCAAAAATTAGGAAACTATAATACACAAGATTATAGCCACCGAAGCATGGGTTTCTAATTTCTTCGTTCGCAGATTGTCAAACCTTACTGAACTGTACCAATAAGACACACACCCTTCACTGAATAGGGACTCTAGTGTATTTTCAAATTCAAAGGTTAAATACATTGCTGTTAATACCAAATTATTATTATTATTAATTATATTACTTGAATTCAGTCACATTCCACAAAACCCACCTCAAGTAATGCACGACAATAAAAGAGATGAAAATAAAAAAACTTAAATTGATTTTCGTATCGCTGATGAGCAACAACAAAAGGGATCACATTGAGCAAAGGCGAAAAGAATTATTAGATTGTGAGTAGATGTGATAATATTTAATTAAAACGTGCACATATTTGAAAAAACTAGTTTTTCTCACCTTTTGGTAAATCCCTGACAAAATTCGGTCCATGTCACATTTTCAATATTACGACTTTTCAATTCTGATCTTAAAAATATTAAATTTTTTTTCACTCCAATCATAGAAGTATAAATTTGTATTCTTTCCTTAAACTTCATACTGTCATCAATAAGTCTCATAATAAAAGCTATTTCTCCGCCCTCAACAATTAATTCAGATTCTTTTCCAGAAGAAGCATTTCGCGGAGGAAGTCGTTTATCTTGTTTTTTTAAATCGTGGTCAGTTTTAAAAAAAGGAGGATTGCACATAACAAAAGAATAGTTTTCTTCATTGTTTATGAAACTTGATAAGATTGTTTCTTGAGGTACAGAAACCACTGTAAAAATATTTGTAGTATTAGGGCTATAACATTACTGGACGACTTACCGTCGGATCAACAGAAATCAGTTTACCAATAAGGTGTTACCGATATTTGCCTTCCGAGGGCGCCACCATCGCGGGAATTATCGCCTAATTCAAACTCCCTTTTGCTAAATTGCATAACCCTTTTACCTAATTTAAAAAACCATGTCGGTATACAGATTTCTGTTGATCGGTCGGTAAGTAGTCCAGTAATGGCATAGTCCTACCACTATGTTTCATTAAAAAATACATTAAAATTTTAAGACTGTATTTCCCTTACCTTTAATAAGTTCTTGCATGTTATTGCGATCAATATTTTCTTTGGCAGATTTTATACTATCTGTATCAATTTCTGAAGCTATCATTTTACATCCATATAATTTAGAAAAAAGTAGTGGATAAATACAAACAGCACCTGTTCCTATAAGTTTTTATTCCTTTTATTAATAAAGTTAATTCTTTTGTATAATAAAAGTCATGATGAAAACTACGTAATTTTTTAAATATATTACGAATTAAGATTTAAAAATTATAACTCAAAAGTGTCTATTTTATTATAGATTCGATACTACAAAACTTTCAATATCTATTACCCTATTATTATTTTAGTATATTATTTGTAATTTATCAACAAGGCATTGTGATATTTTTTAAGGGGAAAGTGCTATTTTCCATGTTGTAATGTCAATATGACAGTCACCTTTATCTCGAAACAAGAAGACATATTGAAATGAACATTGTTGAATATAGTGATCTGACACAAAAGTTTACGTCTGAATAGTACGGTCAAAGTAGTCTCATCTTTCCATGCATTTTAATCGTCCCTACTTGGTCAACCTACATTTCGTGTCAGACAAAAACCAAACGCTAGATGCATTTATATTTTCCCTCACCTTATTTTTTATTGTTTAAAAAAATAGAGGGTTAAAATAAAAATAATTAATATTTTTTCCAGGTTAAAGGAGGTCCGTTAATCTTGCTTCATCCTTACAATCGTTTTAGAAGGTACTTAACAGCAATTACTTACCAATATCTATTCCACGAGCTGATTTCATGTCATTTACTCCAAAATGAATTAACAAATCTTCAATCCATAACACATAGTTAAGACGAAGTGATAAAGCAGGAATTAATTTTGACTTAGGTATTTCCACTTCTATACCAAAATCATGTCGGAGCAAAATTTTTGTTAAAACGCGCAAACTTTCATCATCTTTAAAATTCAATCGAACTTTCCCAGAAAGATCCTAAGGATATAAAAGTCATACATTTTTAAAAAATTAATAGAACTGTTTTTATCATTCAATACTATTTTGGAAGGATTTCCATACAAATGAATTTTTTTTTCATTTTTATATTCTCATAATTTTAATAGTCAATCACACACACACACAAACAATATAAATTATTAAGGGGAGATTACGGTGATTTTGAGGTTCTTTCAAAGATTTTTTTTAAAGTAAAAAAAAATTTATTAGTTACAATTTTTTTATAAAAAAATATAGAGCTTAAATAGTCGCAAACAATTTTTTTGAACAATAATCTATTAAAAAATAACTGCCAAAAATCCAAAATGAAAAGACCAAAATTTTTCTTAATCTGTACTATTTTGACTGTCGTGTAAACTAAAATCAGAAATATTTATTGAAAAAAACGATTGGCAGACTTTTTTAATTTTTCGACAAGAATTTTGCAACTTAAATTGTTTATAACTTTTTAAAATATTAATGGATTTTTAAAATCCTAGTTTTAATCAAAATAAAGAAATGTATGGCATAGGTTATTGAAACGAATCACGCTCCTTCAAAAATTGTAAACTTGCTAAAAGCTTGCCTGGTAACAGTTTTCTCGCAAAATGGATGAATGTTTTAAAATAATTATTTACACTGTGTCACACTTGAGAAAAGAGAAAAATGTGTAAACGTGTTTTGTAAGCTACATGTATTGTAGACGTAAATACTGATGTAATTCAAACAATTGAAGAGAAATGCATTTCAAGTAAAGTAAAAAAAAATGTTCTGAAATTAATGCTGATTATATTAAAAAATAGATATGAATACTGCGACACGAAAAAACTTTTAATGGTTAAAATCAAGAAAAAATTAAAATATATAAAAAATAATTTCAAAAAACATGTAAGACTGAATATCAAAATGAAAATAAAATATATTTTATAATTTAAATATTTTTATACATAATAATTATTTTATGTAATTTAAAATAAGTTTGTATTTTAGTGTATCGACTAATCAAGCCTTTGATTTCGTATTCTTGTTGTAAGAGGGGAAGGGCATTTAAGTAGAATTGTTAGGTAGAATAGTGAAGATTAATTTAAACTTTTGATCTACAATGAAACTAAAGTTGAATCGAAATTTTTTTTAGTCTAATTTTGATTTAAATATAATATTTATTTTTATATAAAAACCACTTTTAATATTTATTGTTATTGTCAGAAAAAATTATAGAGCATGAGAAATTAAAACGAAATAATAAAAAATAGAGTATTTTAAAAAATATTTCAAATTCGAACAGTCAGATTTAAAAAAAAACAAGTACAGAAATTTTGACTCATATTTTAAAAAAAACTTAAATAGCAGCTGTACTAACTAACTACTGTAAGACAAACAATTTCTAATGCAATTAAAAACCTTGATGTAAAATTGAAATAGATTGTCTGCATTTACAATAATTTTTTCATTTTTCAAGTTTATTTTCAAATAAATAATTTTAAATAGATGTTGAAAAAATAATTGAACAGAAAATAAAAAATATTATTTTTCTTTATTTTTCATTTTATAAACTTAAAGCATATTTTAATTGAAGCAATTTATTTTAAGTTGACATTTAAATATGTCAAATTTGAAAAAACAGGTTTTATGAAAATTAAAGAGTTGAAAAATATTTATGTTTCTCAAAATTATATATTCAAATACACAAACTATATACAATAATTCATATGAGAATAAGTTTTTCTTTTCTTATTTCAAAACTTTTGGTCGTAGAGAGATTGATTTACATATAAAGTATGTAAATTTTAATTTTATTATCAGTTATTAAAATCAATTAAATGTACTTAAGAAATTATTATTTAGTGAATAATAACAGAAAATATATAGAAATTGCATTTCCAATGTTTTATTTTTTATAGAGAGAATTTGTAGTTTTCATTAAATGCATACGGCTAAATAATAATTATTATTCTTTAAATTATAAAATTCTCATGTAATCAGTTTTCGTAACTCATAGCCAGTTAGGTTCGGCACACTTTTTGATCCGCCATTCTGATTGCTTACTAAGCCTTCCCAAAAATTAAGACCTATGCATTTTTATTCTAGGAATAACTTTTCAGATCTTCACAGCTGGATACTAAGCTATTCCAAGCGACCTGTGCACTGTAGCCTCCGCTGGTCGGCTTTTTCATATTAGTTACTTATGGAGTTTGAAAACCGCAACGAGATAATTAAACACCTTAATTAATTTTTTATTATATTCAATTATTGTAATAATTTAACCATTTCATGAAAAAAATTCTCAACTGTAAACATTGAAATGGCCATTTCTATATCCCAAAATTTCAAAAAAGTTCCAAACAGAAGAATAAATACATTTAACTATTTAAGTTAAGAATTATACATGTTACTTTGGTAAAATAAATGATTGCTAAATGTTGACTAACTCTTATTCTCTACATGAAAAAATCTATTCCAGTGAAACTTATTGCTGTCCCAAGTAAAATTTTCTTTCAGTCAGTGTATAAATTGTTTTTTTTATTCGCATCTAAAAGAATTTATTGATTTTTATTGTTATATTATTATTACTGCATATTAATATTCATAAAAACTGTCTTTATTACAAATAACTTTTAATTACTAAATTTTACGAATTATTTCATTTTTAAAAATATGGCTCTAAAGTATATAAAATGAAACTTATATTGTTACAACTAATATTACTTACTTGAAAATTCAAATAATACATATGGGTCATAATTCCTGAAATGTCCGAGTCAAAAATTTAAACTTATTTTTGAAGTCTAAATATTAAATATTACTGAATTTGATAAAATATTTTTTGAGTTATAGAGCTTTCAAATTTCGAATGGTTTATATAAAAATAATTTTTCTATATTAAAAACATATTTTATAAAACAATATTGTAATACATAATTGAAAATATGTTTTATTACAATAAAATAATACGAATATACATAAAAAATCAAATTCAATAATGATTATTATCGTACACAAAATAATTATACTATAATACTCATACAAAAAAAAATTATAAAAAACTACTATTTTTAAAAGAAAACGTGTATAAAAATGTGTTAAAGAAAAAGGAAAGTAGGGATAAAATAGTAATTAATTAATTAAAAACAAATAAGATTATGTTCATTTCTGGATGTAATATAGTAAAAATTGTTGAGGCCCTGAAAGATTTTTCTGAATTGAATTTTATTCTATTTAAGATGTGTTACATTGCAAATCAAATTAAAATACCAACAGTACAATTCTGATTCCAGTAAAATGTTCCAATTCAATAATAGTATAATCTCAATTCTACTATAAATTCAGTTCAGTTCAGTTTTAATTTCCAAATCAATTTAAAATACTTTACTAGTTATAAATATTTTACAAGTTCAATTTCAAGTTCTAGTATAATACCAAATTTTAATTCATGGGTTCATTATAAAATTCAATTGAATTTTTAAAATATTTCTTTATTCATTCTTAATTTTTTTAAATTCCCAATTCCGAAGGATATCCGTTCATTAATTTCTCTTGTCCATCCTCGACCGAACCCCACTGAAAGAAGGAACCAAGAAATCAAAAAGGGTTTAAGATGACGATTGTTTCAGACCAACTAAAGATCATGGACCAGAACCTATCCGAACGTTTATTTGGACTAAGGAGGAAAAATTCAACCAACAGGGTAACACCAAGTTACCTTCTGTTAGAGAAAAATATTTCCCGACCTGGAGAGTGACAGTTCCAAGAACCGCCGTGGGAGATTCTGGCACCTGAACTCCGCAAAGTGAGGTCAAAGCACGTCGACAACAGGAGGAGTGCCTATTTACTATTGATGTTACCACAATTTTTCAAAAGAGGGTACCACTTTATATTGACAGGGAAAATTTTAAATCATTTTGATTGCAAATATATTTAAATATTTAAATCTTTTCAACTTTTTTTTTATTCGAAAATTTTTAATTATTATACATTTTTTGGAAAATCCTTTTTAACGGTAAGTAATACAAGTTTTCGAGAAAGATCTCAGGAATTTTAAGATGCATCCAAACATTGTCAACAAGCTGTTTTAAGTTTATCTGCATCCCTATTATGAAAATATGAAATAGTACCATAAAGACATTACGTTAATTCATTATCGTTAAAGTGTAGTGAAGAAGTGATTTGTTCGTTTAAAATATTCGTAATCTACTTACGCCTATTTGAATAGGTTAGGTTGTCTAAAAGTTTATACAATCCTAGTAGCTAAATTTAAAAAGACTTTAGTTGATGGAACAACGATTTTTGTTTTGAAATCATTTATTGCAAAAACATGAGATTTTCCCTACAGCAGATTTAGATAAATTTTATAATGAAAATGTTAAGCAAATAACTCTCAAACTTATGGAAGAATTTCAGGAAAAAGAATCGAATTGGCAACTTCACTCTATTCTCAGATTAGATGTGAATTTTAACAAATACCCTATGCGTGTTGGTTGTTTCATTAAAGTGACTTTTGTTATTGAACGAAAACATGCCTGTGTAAATTTTCGAAAAGAAGGTAATGGATGCTTCAAGTGAGCGATTCTTTCAGCATTAAATAATACCTCTTCTAATCCAAGAAGAGTGAAAAAATATGAGAAATTTGAAGATACTTTAAATTTTACAGATATTACATTTCCTGTAACATTTAAGGACATCCGAAAATTTGAATCTCAAAATGATATAATGTTTATGGTTTGCAAAAGCATAAATTAAAATTTATTGTAACACCATTATATCTCTCATCTAGTAAGAAAGTTTCTGATGTGAATAGAAAGAAAATGTAAATTAGTTTTCTCTATTTTTTCTTACGAATTTTTACCATTTTCTTTGAGAAAAACCAATAATAAGTTTTCTCAACTACCTTTCTTCCCCGCCTACAAGAAATTTCCGTTTCCACAAAAAATCTCCCCCTTCTTCAAAATCTACCCCAAAACTCAAAATTCGTAGTGGGGACAAACCTTTAAAAACGTATGTTT